CCCCCACACACACACACACACGCTGATCACAGTCTGCTCCTGGTCCGTCCCTCCACTTGCACTGGCGCCTTCAGCCACGCGTCACGAAGCGAAGGAGCCAACACCTGACCAACCACACAACACACAAACACACGACACACACAGATGAGCACGGTTTCCATCTAGCTAAGCGCTTTGGTGAGTTAGCTTAGCTGGCTGACCGTGAAGTTGGCTGAGGTGAGGCTCTGTCCGCCGTCGACCACGAGTGTGGTTCCAGTGACGTATGACGCCTCTGGCAGTGAGAGGAAGAGGGCGGCGTGGCCGATGTCGTCCACAGTGCCCAGCCGTTGCAGCGGGATGAACGACCTGAAGTCCGTGTCGTCATCGCCGCTCGGCCTGTTTGCATGTTCACACACGGTCAAAGATGGAGAGAATGATCATTCAGATGGGTGGGTGGTTTGCACGGCACGAGCGTACCCTTCTGATGAAGGCACTAGTCTCGAGATGCCTTCTGTCCCTTCGATTGGGCCCGGCGCGATACCGCACACACGGATCTACAACCCCAACAGGCACACACACATTCCACATACATGTGCATCACCGGTTATCGTCTGAGGGGCGCTGATCAGCCTGCATACGAACGTACATTGTATGGTCCCCACTCGACGGCCATGTGCTTGGTCAGCGCATCGATGGCAGCTTTCGCGGCGCCTGCACCATCATCACCAACGAATAAGGGTTGCCGACACATCATTCATGTGTGTGACAAGCCACCCACCCACACATCCCTTCACCTGCATGTGCCTGCAGCAGCGTCCCGCTGTAGTGCAGTGTCGCGCTGATGTTGATGATGACGCCACCATGCTGCTGAAGGCTCTTGCGGAACGCGGCAGACGACACCACAAAGGTGCCATACGTGTCGATCTCCATGACCGCCTTGAAGCCTGCAAACCAACAGAGAATGGATGGATGGCGTGTGTGGGTCATGCCGCAGTGGGTCGGCTGACCTTTGTGTGAGAGCTTGTCGAGTGGGCAGAGGAAGTTGCCTGCCGCCCCGTTGATGAGGATGTCTATCTTGCCGAACCGCTCGACAGCCTCGTCCACCGCCCTGTCCACCGCCTGTGGGTCGCGCACGTCAGCGGCCACAGGCAGGCACTGCCGACCTGTCAACGACTCCAACTCCTGCGCGCATTCATTCAATGCAACAGAGTGATAGCATGGCCGCCTGTGTGCGCGCGTGTGTGCGTGTGTTTCTGCACTGACTGCCCTACTCCGTCCGTACCTGCGCTGCTTCCACCAGCCTTGCCTTCTTGCGTGCCATGATGACTGCATCACATCCGTGCGCCATCAGCACCCTTGTGATGCCCTTGCATATGCCGCTGCCTCCGCCAGTGACGAACGCCACGCGCCCCGCCAGGCAGTCGCCCTTGAACGACATTTGGTCCTGGTCACCACAAGGGATGCGGTGCCTTCTTTCCTCTCCCGCAGGGCTGCTTTCGGTCCTGGAGAATGCAAGCTTAGAGGTGGCGAGCTCAAAAATGCAGGAAGCTTTGGATGAGGCTGAAACATTACACAAGGAGCAATCCGACGCCTGTGCAATCTTGTCAAGTGGTTTGTGGGTCCTTGGAGTCTCAACTTCGAAGTGGAGACGAAGGCTGAAGTCGAAGGCTGGCATTTCGGCTGGTCCAAGAAGCAGTCGTCGTTTCTGTGATCACCATGGCGGACAAATGAGCACATCAATGGCGTTGGAGATGCACACGAGGGTATTTTTCGTGCGCTGAGCCGCTAAGAGAGCGAGGAGAGGGATGGCGAGTGTACTTCCCCCGCCCTCTTCCCCCTACCAGCCTCCCGCAGGCAGCATGAGTGCGGCATACCCGACACATGACCCCTCCTTCGGCCAGCAAGGAGGGCTGGCTGCCCAGTTCCAGGCTATGAATCAGCAGCCGGGCGGCAGTAGCGGTGGGTATGATTTGACTATAGGTATGGGTGTGGGTGCTGGTGGTCAGCAGCAGCAGTATCAGCCGCAGCAGCAGTATCAGCCGCAGGAGCAGTATCAGCCGCAGTATCAGCCGCAGCAGCAGCAGCCGATGGACGCCTATACTATGCAGCCGACAGTGGACGCCGCCATGCAGCCGATGGTGCCGCAGGCCTTCCCTACCTATACCGACCAGCAGTATCAGTATCAACAGCCGCAGCAGCCGATGGCGAATGAGACGATCGGCATCGCACAGCAGCAACAGCAGCAGCCCACCACCACCACCCAGGCCTTCAGCAATCAGCCTCCGCCTGTCGGCGACAAACAGACGGCCTTCATCGACCCCTTCCAGGGCTACCCATCCTTCGACCAGGGAGACTCGTCGACCAAGCAGGTGGATCCCTTCCAGCAGATGGGCGCGGCGCTCGGCCAGCAGCCGACTGAGCAGCAGCCCATGGTGCCGCAGCAGACAATGATGAACGGCGTGATACTGCAGGAGGAAGGTCCTCCTCCACCCCAGATGACTCAGATGGTGCACCATCCGTCCCCACAGCAGCAGCAGCAGCATCAGCAGCAGCAGCATCAGCTGAGCCCTGCAACGGCAATGGACGACGACAACCGCCCCCGTCTGCCGTCCTTCCCCTCCTCCCCCTCACAGACCTCCCCCATCGCCCCCAACCTCGTCGCCATGGACAGCGTCCAGCAGCCGTCCCCTCCCACCGATCAGAGCACGCTGCAGGTGCCCACCGGACAAGAGGGAATGGGCGGCAGACGGCCGTCGGTGTACATGTATGGGATGGAGGGCGACGGGGAGATGTCGCCGCTTTTCCTCGCCCAGGCGGAAGGGTCCTCACGGGCACCTGCCGGGGCTTGGGCTGGAGCTGGAGCTGGTGTGCCGCAGACCGATCAGATGGCGGCGATGTCATCGCCGCGGACGGACGCTTACACCTGGGGCAGCATGGTGACGTCACCCCCACCCCAGATTGCGGTGCACCCCCCTCCAGGCGTTGCATCCCCACCTCAGACGTATGAGCCCTCGCCGAGTCTGCAGCCGGCGTCATCGGCCTACCAGCAGGCATACGAGCAGCAACCGATGACCTTCGCACAGGAGGTCGGTCACGGTCAGCAGCAGCAGCAACAGCCGTATCAGCAGCAGCAGGGGTACCAGCAGCACCAGCAGGGGGGTACGGTGAGCGGCAGCCCGCCGCCGTCCAACATGCCCTCTCCGTCGCCGTTGCCGTCCGAGTTCTACCCCCCACTGCCTCCCGGCATGAACCTGCCCAACCTCCACAACGCCGCCAATGCCTCATCGTACCCCGGGACGTCGCAGCCTCAGAGTCTTAATGCCTCTGAGATGAACCAGCTGATTCAGCAGGGGGGCGGGCCCCTGCAGCAGCAGATGATGATGCAGCAGCAGCAGGGGGGCGGGGGCGGGGGAGGGGCTGGGTATCAGCTGCAGCAGCAGCCACAACAGCCACAGCAGATGATGGCCCAAGCCGGTGTGGGCCAAGAGATGAAGGTGAGAGGACAGACAGGCGGACAGACTCGCAGTGAGCCCATTGTCTGTCTCTATGTGTTTTTGTTGCAGCCGATGGTTGACCAGGAGAGCATGGCCCCCACAATGCCCCAGCAGCACCAGTATCAGCCATACCACCACCAGCAGCAATCATACGAGCCGCCCGCCCCCACACCACCACCCCAGCAGCCACAGCGCCCGTCGATGGGCCCGCCGTCCCTTGCCGGTTCGTTCTTCAACGTCGAACAGGGCATGCACCAGCAGCAACAGCCACCCCAAGAACCACCACAGCAGCTATACCAGCTGCAGCAGCAGCAGCCGCAGCCCCAGCAGCCTCCACCACAGCAGGCCAGAATGACGGTAGAGCAGCCCGTGCAGCAGCAGCAGCAGCAGCAGCCGTACCTGCAACAACAGCAACAGCCGACATATCCATCGGGCGAAAGGGTGGTGCAGCAAATGCAGCAGCTTCAGCAGCAGCAGGTCCCTCGTCAGCTGCCCCCCGCGGCGCCCCTCCCCCCACCAGCGCCAGCCGCGGCACTGGAGGGGCTGGACTCGCTGGGCATGCAGGAGGACAGCAGTGGGGGCGGCAAGGAGTGGTATGAGCAGGACGACGAGCCGTCCCCTGTCCACCACGGGGTGCAACAGAGAGAGAGGGAGAGCGTGCCGGCACCAGCAGCGTCAGCAGCAGCGTCAGCAGCCCCGCCGCCACCGCGGCCATGGCGGCCGCCCAGCCGCTACTCCATCGAGCAGGGCGCCCAGGCATCGCAGAACGAGGCCGAGTTCCAGAGCAACTACCAGCAGGCCAAGCGCTTCGGCCGCCTCGTGTGGGAGCACCAGCAGCAGAAGCTCAAGGAGAAGATCCAGCAGACCGCCCAGGAGGTCTCCCCCGCCCTCTCATACCAGGAGCAGCGGCAGATGCAGGTGCCCGGGATGCCACTGCGCCCGCTGTCGACCATGTCTGCCTCCGCTGTGGAGGCTGTTGATCGCGCCGGCGACCAGCAGCGAGCTCGGGTGGCCTCGATGGACAGCATGGAGGTCCGACGGATGGCTGCTGAGCGAGCGGGGAAGGAGAGCAGTGTGGGTGGTGAGGGTGTGCGATCATGGGTCGGCCCGAGTCCGCTGAAGCAGGTGTTGCGGTCGCTGCGGCTGAGTGGGAAGCAGAAGCTGCAGCGCATCCAGCAGGTGCTGCACTTGAGCCTCATGAGGGACTGCTACGCGTCGCTCGAAGACGTCTTCCAAGAGCTCCAGTAAGATGCACACACACACATGGCTGGATGGATGGATGGATGTGTGGCGGGGTCGGCTGTGGCTGTCAGGAACTACCCGGCTTTCCAGGATTTGTGTCTGTTCACGCTGCGTCAGATCCTGACGTGCCACCCCGACGCACTGGTGCAGTTCTTCGAGCCCCGGCACGTATACGCCCTCTTCTCAAAAGACACAGACGACAACAAATCTGGTACACACACACATGACACACACACCACCCCTTCATCTCTCTCTCTCTCTCTCTCTGTGTGTGTGTGTGTGTGTGTTTGCGCAGGCTTCTTCCTCTACCTGTTTCTGTCCTACAAAGCCCAGCACTGCTCACCCACACAGAGCCCCACTGCCAGCCAACAAAAGCAGCAGCAGCAGCAGCAGCCCCCAGTGGATGTGGGTGCCGCTGAGGCGGCGGTGCTGCTTCGGCTGTGCATGAAGCGCGCCAAGGTGGGTGACGGCCGGGAGCTGCCGCCGAGCAGCCTGCGCGACTGGCTGCTCAAGATATGGTTCAAGATACCCTCCACACGGCCTGCAAAGCCGATGCCAAATGTCATGGAGGTACGTCTTGCGTTGAGGGAGGGAGGAAAGAGGGAGGGAGGGATGGCTGGTTATCTCCTTTTTGTTCCTCAGTATCTGTTTCACTGGCTGGCGAACGCTCGTGCGCCATCGTCGTCCAAGAAACTTCTGTTCCAGGCCGTCAAGTGAGAACACACACACACACAAAGACACACACACACACACACAAAGGGAGGGAGGGAGGGAGGGAAGGCCGCAATCAGGGGAGCGTCATCTCTCTCTCCCTCTCTGTCTGGTTGTATGTGTGTCGCTGTGCTGTGCGTTGCGATAGACGTGAGGCGACCCAGAACGGCGAGCGGGACATGTACGAGGCCGACATGGTGATCCTGCAGCACTTCCTCGAGACCATCTACTTCTACGAAGGCGGCTGCTCACGAGACCTGCAGCACGTCCTACTGCTGGTCAGCTCAGCTCAGCCCAGCACCATCACGCACACAAGGCTCTGTCTGGTGCGTGTCTGGGATGAGTGTGTGCAGCTGGACACGCCGCGCGATGAGCTGTCGTGCAAGGTGGTGTATCCGCTGCTCAGGCACAGCGACTACTTCGCCGAGCACCTCCTCACCCTCTGGATCGCACTCACGGCACACGCATGGGAGCCCGAGCCCAATCCCACCTACCTTGACGGTATCCCACACACACGCGCACACACACACACACACACGCCTTTATCTGCATCTCTCTCTCTCTCTCTGTGTGTGTGTGTATGTGTGTGTGTGTATGTGGACAAAAGAGATGCGCCGCGCCAAGGGTCAGGAGGCGTGCAGCCTGTACATCTTCATGTCGATTCTCATCAAGGTCTTCCTCAAGCTCGGCGTCCGCAAACTCGCACTGACCGAGTCCAACGAGATCATACACCCCACCATTACCCCCGCCCAACACCCACCACCACCACCAGCAGCGATCGAAGAGGGTGTGGATGACCTTTTCGGTGACGATTTCGGTGGAGGGCAGAAGAGGGAGAGGGAGAGAGCGGCTGTCGCCGCTGCTGCTGCTGCTGCTGCTGGGAGAGGGGGAGGGGATACGGACAGGGAGAGGGAGAGGGCGGTCGCTGCCGTGGTGCATGACGCGAGAGCGCGATATGCGCTGGTGGAGTGTGCACTCAGAGTGGTGGCGGCAAAGGCGACGGTGAGTCGAGTACAAAGGGTGGGTGTGTGGTGATTGGTATGGTGTGCATCGGCTCTGTGTGTGTGTGTGGTGGGTCAGATTTTGTTGAACGCGAAGGACGCCCTGCAGCTGCTGACCTTCATTCTGGCCACGGGGCCATATCCCTGTATGTGCCCACGTCGACTAGACACACACACCACATGAGCCACTTACACACGAGCATGTACGACGTCTGTTGGTACGTCTTGTGTGTGTGTGTGTTTCTGCTGCATGTGTGCAGTTTTGAAGGTGCAGGAGTCCTTCCACGCCGTCCAATCGCTCATCCCCTTCCTCAAAAAGGTCAGCACATGACAACACACCACCCGCCTTTCATGTGTGTGTGGGGGTCACTTATTGTTTCTTATATCATTGCCCACCCCTCCCCCTCCCATCCTTCAGCTGCGTTTCCTTTGGCGCGCGAGCGGCACCGTGCCCGAGTACATCACCACCCTCCTGGCCGACCTCCTCACATACATCGAAGTCGCAAAGGACAAATCAGACAAGGAGAGACAACTCATCAAACAGAGACAGGCAAGTACACAAGACACACAAGCCACAGAGCCCCACCCTTGCCACACACACCCCATTCTTGACACCCCCCACCCACAATCTCACTCACCTGTCTGTCTGCAGGAGGCCGCACTGGCGCAGCAGCGAAGCCTGGAAGAGCGCCAGAGGATCGACGCGGAGCGCGCGGCGAAGCTGGAGCGCATTCAGAGGGAGAGGGGCACTCAGGTGCGGCAGATGGAGAGCAGATGGCCGATGGTCGTCGACACCGGCACACGCAGAAGGCACCATGCCACAAGTGCGGTGGGTGCGTGAGGGACGATCCACAACACACATACCGTTGTGTGGATGGGATGGTGGGTGTGCAGGTGAGAGTGGGCGTGCTGGTGCTGCGGGTGGCCACCTGCCGATGACCACACAGACGGCCAACCCGGCGCTGCGGGAATGGCTGCACAAACACCCAGAGTAAGCCAGGGCAGGACAGAGCAGAGTAACGAACACACATTTGCAGCAACACGTATATAGTTTCTCCCTCTCTCTCTCTCTCTCTCTGTGTGTGTGTGTGTCTGTGTGTTCTGTGGTCACGTACAGCCGCAGGATAAGCTTCCCCATCCCGGTTCCCCCCCTCAACGTGAAGCCCCACCTGCTGTCCAACCAGGACCTCCCATACGTCACACTCAATGACGCCACACCCCCCACTTCACCCCTTCCACAGCAGCCGCAGCAGCCGCCAAGCAACCACAACAGCTACAACGTCCCCAGTGACACCGAGGGCAGAGGCAAACTCGCCACACAGTTCGGTGCCATGCAGGGAGGTAGGCACATACCCACAACGACCACGACAAGAGAGAGAGAGAGAGAGAGGGGGGAAGGGGTCCATTCCATCCACCACAAGCATGTGGTTGTGTGTGTGGTTGTGTGTGTGTGTGTGGTTGTGTGTGGCAGCATCGGCCAACCCCTGGCTGCACCCGTCTCGGGCCCACTCCCACTCCCCCTCGCCCCCAGCCTCCCACACACACATCTTCCCCCGTCCAGCCTCGCCCGACTTCCCCCGCTTCAACCACATGAGCGCCAACGTGCTGCCCGTCTCGCGCAACATCTCACGAGGCACCACGGCCATGAGCCACGTGTCGTCCATGCAGGACGCGCCGCTGGTTGGTGGTGGTGGGATTCTGAACCAGCCGCACCACTTCTTGCCGCCTCCTTGTTTGGAAGGTGGGTTTGGGAGGGGGGGAGAGGGGCATGGACACCTTCGATGTGGTTGTGTGTGGTTGTGTGTGTGTGTGTGTGTCTTTGCGGTGTGTATCAGACCACCGTCGGATACCGTCGCCCACGCCGTCGTATGCATCCTTTGGGTCGCTCAACCAAGCGCCGATAAACCTGCCACCACCAGCGGATCTCCATGGACAACAGGTGTGTCAAGCATGCCACACCGATGCAGCACCAACACACACGTCCTTCCATCTCTCTCTCTCTCTCTCTCTGTGTGTGTGTGTGTGCGCGTGTGTGTCAGTTTGGCTCTCCCAATCACGGCTTCGGCGGCCCTGGTGGTGGCGGTGGCAATTTGCCCCAGGCCCCCTCGCCCCCTCCCTCCACCAAGCAGATCATGCCCGTGTGGCAGCTGCCGCGCAGCCCTGGCGGCTGTGTGGAGGTCAAATTCCCCAAGCCACGATGCGGGCTGCAGAACATGGGCAACAGTAAGCAGCAGAGAGCAGGGGAGGGATGGATGGATGTGTGTGGTGTGTGGTGTCTGGGGGGTCGATCAGCGTGTTACCTGAACAGCTACCTGCAGTGTCTGCATCTGACGGACCTCTTCAGCAGCAACGTCTTCCACTTCCAGCTCAAGAAGGTGGGGCAGAAGGGCCACGAGGAGCTCAACCCCAAGATGCTCGACGCAGTCAAGATGCTCATCGCACAGTTCCTCATCACCAAACGGTTGGTTCCCATGCGCACCGACCCACATCCATCCATCCATCCATTCATGTGTGTGTGGTGTGTGCAGGACGTACCTTGACGCGAGCGGCGTGATCAAGACGCTCCCCGACTTCTATGCCGCTGGCGAGCAGCAGGACGTGACAGAGGCTGGCAGATACATATTCGCCGCACTGGGCGGCCATGAGCAGGTACCCCCTCCCTCTCCCCCTCTCTCCCTCTCTCTCTCTCTCTCTCTGTGCATCCATCCATCCCCGTGTGTGTGTGTGTGTGTGCAGAAGTTGATCAGGGGTGTGTTTGCGGGTCAGATCGTGACCAAGGTCAAGTGCAAGGGGTGCGGCAAGGTCAGCGAGCGGCAGGAGACCATCCACGACATCGGCTTCCCGGTGCCGACCGAGAAGGAGTTCGACGACATGCCAAAGAAAGGCAGGCACCTGACACACATGGACACAGCACACACATGGCTGCATTTCATCTGTCTGTCTGTCTGTGTGCCGACCAACCAACAGATCGCAAGAGGCTGTCGGTCCAGAAGCTGTTCAGCGACTACACGAGCAAGGAGGAGCTGAGCGGCGACAATGCCTACTCGTGCGACAAGTGCGGCAAGAAGCAGAAGGCCACCAAGTGGGTCGAGATCCTCTCACCCCCGGCGCACCTCTTCCTCTGCCTCAACCGCTTCTCGTGGGACCTCTCCACCGGACAGCGCAACAAGGAGAAGACCCCGGTGCCCATCGACAAGACCGTCACGGTGTGCGGCTTCGTCTATGACCTTTATGCGGCCATCATTCACTCGGTGAGTGT